ACCCTCTCAATCCAAATGAAATTGATCGAATAAGGCTCATTATTCAAAATTCTAGCCTTGGCAATCTTCGGAATCTAACCTTCCATTTTGTTGATCTTGAAGAACCAGAAAAAGGAGATGTACTCAAGTGGCTATCTTCGTCTGAACAAAATAAATCTATTCCTCCTCGTCATGCCAAGGTGGTTATTCGAGTTAGAAGGGAGACACATGAGCTCATTGTCGACTTGGCCACAGGCAATATCACATCGGACCGTCTCTACTCCGGTCATGGATACCCTCCTCTCGCTTTTATTGAGCTTTTTCGAGCTAGCAAATTGCCACTGAAGTATCCCAAATTCATCGAGTCCATTATGAAAAGGGGCTTGAATTTGTCTCAGGTTTCTTGCGTACCATTCACCGTTGGTTGGTATGGACAAAATGTTACAAAACGAGCGCTTAGAATTGCGTGCTTTTACCGAGGGGGATCAGTTAATGTGTTTGCGAGGCCTATTGAGGGAATAAGTATGCTAGTTGATGTTGATTCCATGCAAATTACTATGTACACTGATAGATTCAAGGCCCCTCTACCTAAAGCTGAAGGAACAGATTTCCGTTCAAAGAAGCAGCCTCAGTCTATCGCATCCAATGTATCAGAAAGTGGGTTTACCGTTGATGGTCACAGGGTTAGATGGGCAAATTGGGATTTTCATGTAGCATTTGATGCTCGGGCAGGAATTACTATATCAACAGCCTCAATATTTGATGCAAAAGTAAAGAAATTTCGTCGAGTACTATACAAAGGTCATGTATCTGAGACGTTTGTTCCTTATATGGATCCTACTAGTGATTGGTATTTTAGGACTTTCATGGACATAGGTGAATTCGGATTCGGCCGATCTGCTGACACCCTCCAACCACTTGTCGACTGCCCAGCTAATGCCTTTTATTTAGATGGATACGTGACAGGTGCGGATGGGCAGGCCCAGAAAATGCCTAATGTCATCTGCATTTTCGAGAGATACAGTGGTGATATAGCATGGAGACATACAGAAATTAATGTTCCAGGGAAAGTGGTAAGTTCCTAGTCCAGCAAGTATTTTGTTTGGGTGGACTTCCCTGAATTGTGATTGTAAGTAAATTGTTTCTGCAGATAAGAAGTGGGGAGCCGGAAATCAGTTTAGTGGTAAGGATGGTGGCTACTGTGGGAAATTATGATTATGTTCTTGATTGGGAGTTCAAGAAAAGTGGCAGCATCAAAGTTGGGGTAAGCTTCTATATATATTTTGGTGTTCCATAATTAATTGACCTTCCAATATGTGCATATTGACTTTGTCTCTCTTATTTTGGCAAAGGCACTGTAAGTATTGAGTTATTTAAAAATTATTTTAATTGTTTTTTTTTAAAGTATTTTTTATTTAAAATTATATTAAAATAATATTTTTGATTTTTTTAAAAACTTAATTTTAATATTAATATATCATAACATTAAAAATTATATATAAAATATTAATTTAAAATGAAAAAATTCGGTAACAAACATACAATAATTATCCCAAAACTTTTACTTTTGTTTGAAACTTCAACTTTTTATTTTTTCTTAGAAGCATTAAACTAATGCTACTTAATAGATTTTGATTTAAAGTCTTGGTCTTTTTCTATAATTACATGATTACCAATTCGAATTAAAACGTCACTTCTGCCTCTGCTTCTGTAGGTGGACCTGACAGGAATATTAGAGATGAAGGCCACCTCGTACACAAACAACCAACAAATAACGGAAGAGGTCTACGGCACCTTAGTGACGGAGAACACCATTGCCGTTAACCATGACCACTTCCTCACGTACTACCTCGATCTTGACGTTGACGGTGACGGCAACTCATTCGTCAAAGCAAAACAACAAACGGCAAGAGTACCAGCGTTTAACGCTCGCTCCCCAAGAAAAAGTTACTGGATGGTCGTCAGGGAAACTGCCAAAACTGAAGCTGAGGGACGGATTCAGCTCGGCTTGGAGCCAGCCGACCTCTTAATTGCGAATCCAAATAAGAAGACAAGACTTGGAAATCAAGTGGGCTACCGGCTAATTACTGGACAGCCAGTTAATTCTCTACTGTCGGATGATGATTATCCACAAATCAGGAATGCTTATACAAAATATCAAGTGTGGGTGACTGCCTATAACAAGTCAGAGAGGTGGGCTGGTGGGTTTTATGCTGATAGAAACAGAGGAGAAGAGGGATTAGCTGTTTGGACCCGCAGGTAATTTTTGGGGCATGCATTTTTATATTTTACTTGGTAAACGAATTAACAATGCTTTAGAAACAAATCATATTTCTTTTTCATATTTGATATTTTAGGTTCTAATTACTATTAATTTATCATATTTTATCTTATTCTTCAATTTATCATTTTGATAAATATTTTCGTATAAATTAATGAAAATATTTGCATATAAAAAAAACTCACACTGTATCATATTTATTGAAAATAAAAACGAAAAATAAATTTTATTTTAGAATTTTATTTTATGTTTATTTTTGAATAAGTCATGTCTGGTTTGAGTTTTTTATGTGAGGCTATTTCAACTAGTTTTGATGAGAATATGTGATAGGATGATATATTTGAAAAATGTGTTAAGCTGAAAAACAAGTTAAAAATATTTAGACTTATAATATATAAGATTGAACTTAATTTGAAGAAAGTGTTTGCACTTAAAAAATTCATGCTAGATCATATTTATTAAAAAATAAATATTAAAAACAAAATGTCATATGGTCTTAAAATTCTTTTTTTTTTTAATGAATAAATCTTGTTTGAATTTGTTATAGATGATGATAATATACAATGGAATGATATATTTGAAAATTGTGTTTATATTAAAAAAAATTAAAAATATTTAGATTTATAATGATGATTGAACTTGATTTTTAATGAGGGCCAGTTAAGCTAATTTTCTTAATAAAAGTTAAACTTAGATAGCGTATTATTATTTCTTAAGGGGATAGTTTAATTGGTTAATGACAGAATTCAGAGACACTATGAGAATTTTCTTACACAATATTTCACTTAATTATATGGCAATTGCTGATAGTGCATATAATTTAATAAATAATTTGTCGAGCATAAAAAATAACTATGAAACAATATTATTCATATCTTTTACTAATTTTTTAGGAAAGAGCGTCTCTCGAATATCAAAGAATATATCAGTTAGCCGAAACATGTTCCAAAGGGGACATTTTAGCAGACTAAACTGGCGATCGATTTCGACAAGGAGGTTTTCTATTTAAATCCTGAAAAAAAGTAAAGGCTTATCTTCCATTATGTTCATATAGAAGAACCTATTTATATCTTGATACTAGTGGCTATGCTATCTCAGACTCGCAAATGATACACCATTTATTATTTTTTGTTTAAGAAAAATAATAACTGCAACCATCTTTAGTGTTCTTCTAAAATTTTTGTTTGAACTTTTGAATTTAAGCTCTTTCGATGGAATTCCAGAAAATCTGCACTGGAATTCAGTCCTTTATTGAGAGCTTCACTTTTGACAAATCATGTTGAACGGATGACATGTTTCTTTTTTCTTTTTCCCTGTTGTATACTGTGGTTAATCAATTATTGTGCGACAGTGGAAAACGTTATTGAATGACGATTCAACGAGATGTTATTTGATGTGCAGGAATAGAGCGATTGAAAACAAAGACATTGTTCTATGGTACATCGTCGGATTCCACCACATTCCATGCCAAGAAGATTTTCCAGTGATGCCCGCACTTCATGGTGGATTTGAGCTTCGACCTGCAAACTTTTTTGAAAGCAACCCATTGCTCAGACAGGAGTAACTTATGCTAAGCAACTCTTTAACATGCTAAAGAATTCTTGGCTTACCCCCTTGTTAACAATACCAAATTTCAATGTCGTCTAAAAACCAAAAAGAAAGAAAGAAGATCTAACATGGTTGTATTCTTGAACTCAAAACATTTCTCAAATGGACAACGTATTAATTCTTTATGAAGCATCGAGTGCAGAAACTAATAGATGCCCTGCTTATATTCACATCTTTTGCTTTGGATGTCTTCATGAACGGCAGTGTTTGTTAAGAGAATTTTGGTGATAATCTGCAACATTTGCATATTAAGTTGATAATTTTCTGTGGAGATTTGACCATCAGTTTCCAACTTACAAATTAATTTCGCAATGCAGTTCGTTTTTATTTCTGTATTTAGTCGTCAGGCTTATTTTTAGAAGTTGGATTGAGACATATCTACTTTTAATTTTGTGGTCTTTCCTCTGAACCCACAGCACATATTGATTGACTTCCCCGTAAGGACTGCAAATTGCTTGAGTAATTACACATTTACAGTGTTGCAAATGTCAATGGCCACTATTAATGGCTAAGGAATGCACCATTGAAATCCAGAGTAGATGCTCACAGTTGTGGTAGAATATACTGAAATTTTATGTTGCAGAAGGCATGTAGATTTGGGTAGAGGAAGAGGCAGAAGAACAATCTTTCCTCTTGGACTGGGTTCTGAGTTGAATGATTTCTGGGAAGCCAGAGACAGTGTTAGGACGCGATCCTGAAGCATTAGATGATTTCAAGAGATTCTAGAGCATGGCCTAAGCAGGATTATGATCCATTCATCCTGAACCAATGCCAAGATGCCGGCTTAAAATAAATGTATACTGACTGTGAAAAGGCATATTGTTCTTGTTCTGCACTTATGATAGGAAACACAAAAATGCTAATCTGTTCAGCGCTACGAGTTCAATCCTACAGTTTGAGGATCAAATTCCTACGATACTATACAGGACTTTGTGCACACACATAGGAAATAGAAGCCTGGGTTGTGGAACCTTGTTACCTCAGCCTGAGGGGGGAAAGCGGAATTAATATTGGCAAATGAAGCTTTTAGTCATATGGTTGGCTGGTTAAAATCTCTATTTCAGCAGTTAAAATTTGAAGTTAGCCTTTCTTCTTTAAAAAAAAGGGGAGTTCTTTAGTTAGATGAATTATCTTGTTAGAAACCATATGATTTTTAACATAACATTGAAACGTTCTAGTTCATCGAGCAGAGCTCATGCAAGCTTTCTTGTTTTCGATACGGAACTGCCCATAGCAAAGAAAATACAAAAACATGCAAACATTAAAGTAGAGACAAACTTATTTGGCATTTCGAGAAACATGAAAGAAAATAGACTATGGTTTGGCGGTGCAGTTAGGCCAACGTACAGGCTTAGGAGGCAAAACCTTGAGCACAGGATTGCTTTCAAAGAAATTAGCCGGCCGGAGCTCGAATCCAGCACTCAATGTTGGCATCACAGGAAAATCTTCTTGGCAAGGGGAATGGTGATACCCCAAGACATGCCATAATACTATGTCCTCGTTTTCAATCTTTCTATCCCTGCACATCAAAAAACCCAAAATTGGAATAAATTTCGAGATTGAAATTAAGTTAATTGATGACATGATCTCTACTGTTTTAGATTACCAATGGAATACCTGAGGGTCCAAACAGCTAAAGTGTCTTGTCCTTGGCTTTGATCAACATACTTTCCTCCTGCCCATATTTCAGACTTGTTATATGGGGTGACCCACACATTATACTTAGAGAAGGCTCCACGAATTTGTGGATAGTCATCCTCTAGCAGAAGGGGGTGTGTAGCTGTCCCTGGTATCAAACGATAGCCATGATAGTTTCCAGGTTTAGTTTTCTTATTTGGATTCACAATTACCAGGTCAGATGGAGTCATCCCTAAGCGAATTTTCGCCTCCGATTCAGTCTTGGCTGTTTCACTAACAACAGTCCAAAAACTCTTCCTTGGTGAGACATTATCCTTCACATGTTTGGTTACCAAATTTTGCTTAACAAAAGAATTGGCAACACCATCAATGTCAAGATCAAGGCGGTAAGTCAAGAAATGATCATGGTTTAAGCCGATTGTATTGTCTCCTAACAATGTACCGTAAACTTCTTCATTTATCTGATCCACATTGGTGAATGTTGTTGACTTCACTTCAAGAATTCCACTTAAACCAACCTGTTGAGGCATAGAACGTGTTACAAACTTGAGGACATGATCAAGATCAAGGTAATTATAAAGCCACGCCATTGTCTACAGTTTACCTGAGCTTTGATAGAACCACTTGGCTTGAATTCCCAGTCTATTATATGATCATAGTTACCGATCGTGGCAACCATCCTCACTACTAGGCTTACCTCAGGCCTAGCCTCAGTGATCTGAAAATAACGTACACATTTTTCAATCCTATCGATATATTAGCTGAATGAAATCGAAATCAATTGCTCTAAAATATAACGTCACAGAAATGTTTACCACTCGGTTTGGAATCCCCAACTCGGTATGTCGCCACATGATATCTCCAGCGTGCCTTTCAAATATGCAAAAAGCATTTGCTACTTTCACTGCTGAACCGTCATGTGCTGCATAGTAGCCGTCCATGAATACTGCATTATTTGGACAATCGGCCAGGGGCACTAATGAAGCCGCATTTTGACCGAACCCGAATTCTCCGCAATCAAAAAATGTTTTGTAGTAATATTCCTCGGTTGGATCCATGTAGGGGACAAAGAGTTCAGATATGTGTCCTCGGTACAGCACGCTGCGATAGGTGTGCTTTTCTGGATCGTAAATTGATGCCAGAGATATAATTGGTCCAACTCGGACATCAAATGCTAGATGAAACACCCAGTTGACCCATCTGATTGGGATCAAATTTGAAGTCAGTTGTTTGTTAAGCTTTTCAAAAATATATTAAAATAACAGGAACGAAAAATAATTAATTATCGAATCAGGAAATGCCATGGCCAGCTCCATGTTTTGTTTTTACTTAATTACACAGTAGGGCTAGGTTCGATTAACCAAACCCGAAAAATTCCTAAAGCTCAGCTGGCGTGCCACAAGAGGCAGCCTCCGCCTATTAGGTCTACAGTTTGCGAAAAAAAAGAAGCCGATTGCATAATTGATAACAGTTCAATCACCTTCCCCCCCCCCCCATTGAAATACCAAAAATAAATTACAAGAAAAAGAAGAAAAGGTGTTTCTAGCTGCGACATGTGGAGAAACTAACATTTCTGGGAAAACAAAGGGATATTATCTTTATTGTATGATTTTTTATTCTATTTTGAGAGGTGAATTATTGATGTGTTAATTAAATCCATTACTTTTGGTTACGTAAAATTAATCGACAAATCATAGCTTAATACAGGAATTTTTTTTGGTATAATAGGGTATAATTTAATTAATCATGGGGATTTAAGTGTTAACCTCAGAATGGAAAGGGTAAAGAAATTTTGAAGACTGGAAGATTTTGGATCTAAAACACTGTCAATTTTAATTTGTTGATTCTCTAGATATACTAGAAGTGTTCAAATAATCAAAATGATGCCAATTTTTAATTTTTTAAAGTAAAAACAGCTTGAAAAAATGAAATTCGGTTTTCAAGAAATAAAATATTTTAAAAAATAAATTCAAGCCGTTTTTAATATTTGTAGAAAAAGTATTTGGGTTTTTTACATTTTAAATATTTTTAGTTAATATATTTATTTAAAAAAAATAGACACTGTGGAAAATTACTTACTTGATATATGACACATGTCTGTATCAATTTAATTTTTAAAGAAAAAATGCTGAAAATGAAATTCAGTTTTTTAAAATTTCAAAAATTCTATTAAAAAATGTATAAAAGCAATGTCTTTTTTAAAAAAAACTTTGATATCATATTTTTTTATTCTTCTGTTTGTTAATTAAGCCTATACAAGCCACTAAAATAGTGAAATAAAACCATATAAATATCATTATTACAACTAAAAAAAGCCACTAAAATAGTGAAATAAAACCATATAAATATCATTATTACAACTCAAATATTTTGATTTAATTATGCACTAGGTATTTTAATAATGCATAATGATTTTTAAAAATATAATTTTTTTCAGTTTTTATATTAACATATTATAATCATAAAAAATATTTAAAAAAATCAATTTAATATATTTTTTAAAAAAATAATCTAAACATAATTTCGAACAAAAAAAATGCCTAAAACAGTCCACATGAAATCAGAGCTGAAACATGTGTATGATTTGGCACTTATCTCGTCAGTTTGATTCCTTGAAAGGCTTCTAAGCTTTTAAAGCATTGTACCCTCACGAGGACCACGAGAAGGGAATTGCGACTTTGCTATCCCTGGACGGCTAGAACTTCGAGGAACAGCTAGCAACACATCACCATGTACGATATCACGTGCATACTTTGTCTTTCATACGAGTATTTCGTGGACATGTAGGAGCAAAGGGTTGATCCAAGACAAAAATAAGGAGGAGGAGGAGGTTCAACGTCTGGAGACTTGCCATGTGATTATTGATTTCAATTAATAAATAAGTTCAAAATTATTTTACAATCAACACGAGACTGCCATTCGTATTAATAAATTGATTAATTTCTATTTATTTACTAGAAAATAAAGTTTTTATAGAAAGTGATTTTTAAAAAAGTAAACTTTAAAAATATAAATTATTTTTTGATATTTAATAATATAATAAAAAATCAATTAAAATTTTTTCCAGTATTTAGTTATGTAATGAAAAATAAGATGGAAAAAAATTATTAATATTTTATATTTTTCAAGTTTATTAAAATAATAAAGAAAAAATTTTACAAATTAAAAAGTTGAAGGAGAATGAAATTGAAAAAAATATAATTTTATAAATTATCTCAAATAAAATAAATAATAATCAAAATAATAAATATCAAATCTATAAAATTAAAAATTAAAATAATTATATTAAAATTTTATAAAGTATTTCAAATAAAATAAGTAACAAATAAGGGTCAAATTTGATGAATATATTTTTTTAATAAAAAATAATAACAAAAAAACAAATAAAAATTATAAAAATAAGAACCAAAGCTAATATAAAAATTAAATTTTAAAAGATAAAATTGAATAATAAATATTTAAAATAAAATATATATATAACAATTAAAAGTTTGAGAACCAAATTTAATATAATCAGTAAATAATATGATATTTTTAAATTTTTTATAACTTTAAAAAAATATTTTTTACTCAAATTGTTTAGTAAAATACTTTTCTGGAAATAAAATTAAATTAAAATTTGTATTTAACTGAAAAATAATTTTTTTCGATTAATTTTTTTAATAATAAAAAAATATAAAAAAAATTAAAAAAATAAGTTTTTAAAAAACAATCACCGACTAAAAACACTTCCACTGGAAAAGTAAAAAAAAACTTTGACTATTTGCGTAAAAAAAATATGATAGCAGCGAACGTCTTTAGCTGTTTATTTCCTACCTACGTCCGTCGTTTTCATGCCTAACAAAAATAGACAGATAATTTTTAGCAAAAACAGTCAAATCATTTTTCCGCAGTTACAGAGTTTGGATGTCCATATCACTTCTCCATCTTTGATGGTGAACGTGATTATCAAGTGAAAAAAATTACTTGGGTTATCGTTCCCCATGAATTCTTTGGTTTGACCATGTGGCTGTTGTCAGCCGAAACACCGTAATTTAAAGACACACAGGATACTCATTTATGGCGGGGACCTTGAGTTGCGGGTTGCCATGGCGCGATGAACCATCCATTTATGGCCCCAGCTGCTACAGACCTTAATCAGTGCCTCCTGAGTTATAGTACCAAAGCGTGCATTCTCGCCCTTGGACTGTTGATTGGAAGGTTACTTAAGGATAGCTAAACGAGAAAAGAAACTACGGTATGCCGGTCAATCTAATAGAATTGGAGGTGTTTTCCACCCGCCACGCCATATTATCAGCTAAAATAACTATTTTGTTTTTAAGAAAAAAAACAATACCAGCTAATGTCACAGGCAGAGAAACACCACAAATCACAAAGATTCGAAAACTCGAAGTTTCTAGAATATATATATATACACACACACACATACAAAAGATTCGAAAACTCGAAGGTATCCTCCAAATTCAATGTTGATTGTACGCCTCCAGTTCAGTAGTGACCAGTAAATACGTACCTTTGCTTTCCTTGAATGGAGGATACCTTGAATTTGGAGGATACCTTCGAGTTTTCGAATCTTTGTGATTTGTGATGTTCGAGAAACACCTCTTGCTTTTTCCAGTGGTCCTCTCTCTCTCTCTCTCTCTCTCTCTAATAATATATATATATATATATATATATATATATATATATATATATATATATATATGTTCCAGTGCTTCTCTGCTTCCTCGTTGTCAATTGCCATTGTCTACTAAACAAATGGGCGATGTAGAAAAAATATCTCCCCTCTCTTATCCATATTTTTCACATTCAGTGAAAGTCTTGATCCAAGTATATGTAATGTAATATTTATCTAATCATTTTAATTTAAAAATTTAAGTAATATATTAGATAAGATTTTAAAATATAATTTATATTATTTTTTAATAATATTTTTTAAATAAAAATATTTTAACTTAAAAATTTAAACAAACTCACATAAGTTTAATTTTTATTATATAGAATGAAGGTGGGGAGTTATAATTTTTTTTCTGGTGAGATTAATGAAACTCAACCTATAGACCTAATTAACTTCTTTCTTAAAAGGACATCACTTAATTAATGAATTACTTATGAAAGATTTAGTACAATACATTTTTCATTTGCAGCATTCAAGATGAAATTAATATCAATTCCTTTTCTTATAGAATCCATTTACCAAAATAAAACATTATTTCGGATGCTTGGGTATGCTCCTAAAATTCTTCTGTAGACATATTTGATACCTAACTCACCTCATTAATATAATTTCATTTACTGTTACTATTGAAGATGTTTAATAGTTTCAATAGTTTCTACATTATAATATCACCAAAAAATATAATCTACTTCGATAATAATTGATGAATACGTACTATAAAGAATAGAGAAAATATTGCTTTAACGTTCTTAATTATTGCTAGTATATTTTTTCACACGTTTGAACAGCTTATATTGTTTTCTAGAGGTTTTTCCATTAATCTAAAAATAACTGAAATAAAAATGCACACTAATCACGGCTTGTAAGTCCGAAGATGGGCCTTGGGCAATTTAGCTTATTTGGACTAGGCTCCTGTCTCGTACCTTGCAACTTGACCTACGCTATTCCTTAAATCTAGTGTGGACTTTTAAAATAATAGTCAGATTAGATTTCATTAATCTGAGTATATATATAGAGACACGCCATGGCCTGATTAACTTAACTTGCTTTTACATTCGAATGTTCATTATACAACAAAAAATGACAAATTCTTTCTCCTTTATTTTTTTAATATGGACAAATAATTAGAACAAAGGTATCAAGATGAGTGAAATAATGATGAGAAGAAGAAGAGAAACAAAATAAGCACAAAAAGAAGAGAGGAGAAAAACCTGATAGTATGGCCATCAATCTCGAAGCCAGGTCCATTCGTTTGCATGATGGCTGCACCGTTGATACGGGGACCAAAAGGCGGATGCTGCTTGGAAAATCTGTAGTCAGTTCCCTCTGCTTTTGGTACCGGAATCTTGAACGCGTCACTGTATTCAACAATCTTCATTTTATCAAGATCGACAACTATTCGTATTCCCTCTATTGGTCTGAGGTACAAATTAACGGTGCCCTTGTTATAAAAACATTGAACCTTTACCACCCTTTTAGTTCTCTCAACTCCTCCAAACCACCCCACTGTAAAAGTAGAACAAACAACATATGAAACGTTAAGGTCTCTCTTTTTAGTTGATTCGATAAAGGGGCCGTATTTTAATGGCAACTGAATTGCAGCTATTTGCTCGTCAGCTGTAAGTAAAGGATAGCCAAGTCCCTTGTAAACTTCATCATATACAATGATGCGTTTGGATAAGTCTACAATAATTTCATGGGTTTGCTCATTTACTCGAGTAAAGACTAGTGCCCGGCGAGGAAGGGTTTTGGTGCTGGGTTTCGATAGCCATGACAGAACAGTTGGTTTTTCTGGCTCATCTAACCCTACATAATGGAATGATATGCTGTTGTTTGAGCTAGGGTTGTATGATTTCTTGACAATGGTTTGGACAAGGGTCAATTCTTTTGGGGATAGAGGGTCTAGTGGGTGCTGCGCACCCTTGTAGCAAGAGATAGGCGAGATAGTAAAGCTAGAGAAGAGTAACAAGAGCACCACTTTCAATGTTGAAGCCATGGCTATGAAGTGACTATGGAGCTTCTTCATCCTTAAATAGTCATTTTGGACTTTTTCTATGAGTGCACGTATTCGGAAAAAATATTAGTTGCAATCGTACTTGTCAAATTAGACTAATGTTGGATGACATAATGACCCGCCTAACTACGTTGAGTTTATAATTATGGGACTGGTTAATGATTTAACCAATCTATCAAATTCAAAAGATTCAATTAAAATCCAAATCTAGACAACCCGGTCAGACCAATAGCTGTTAGAATATTGTGTGTGCGTGTAAGCCGTCCAATTAATTACAGTAGACAGGATCAGGTTCGATATTGATGGTTTGATCGTGTATTACGAAGTTCTAATGAGACGACAGCAAAACCTGTCAAGAAATGATCGAGTTGTTGAACTATTTGCACAGTTTATGCTAAATATCCAGATTAATTTGAAATAAAGTATTAAGAATAAAAGTGGATCATTCTTTCAAGAAAAAAAAAACATAGAGAAAATGTAGAGTAAAACGGGGGCGTGCAAATATGATTGCAATAGTAGTAGATATAAGACTTATAGTGAACGATTCGAGGGTTACTCGAGACTTAGTTGAGGTTATGCCAGATAATAAGTAAAATATACTCTTTCATATTACACAAGATAAATAAGCTTGAATGATCTATGCTGAGTAGAAACGACCGTTATTAGGAATAAGATAAACATATATATATATATATATAACAGGTCTACAGGAGTTTTGAGGTTGTTCGATGCGGTATTAATTTTAAATGTAATATTGTCCCTTTCTTGAAAGGGAATCTATCTAATCTACCCGGCTGTTAATGTTTATTCTAACCCAAGTTGGCCAGTCACCAATGAGAAATTGTAAAAACTATTTCTCATTAAAAATATAATTTCTTTTAACTTCTTGTTTGATATATCATCTGTCCTGATGCTTCTTTATAACCGAATTCATCAATTTAAACTCCTAAAAGCTTTGATGGCCTAGCAGAGCCCAAAGCATCTACCATTAAATTAGATAGAAAGCTCACTAATGTTCTATAAAGGTTGAATCTCAGACGGTTTGATACATCCAAAGCCAATTGGTATACTCCAGTACACTATCTTATGGTCAAATATAATTTAATTGTCATCAACTACGACGACAAAATGTATTTGCACTGGATGAAAAAATAACCCTTCGTCGCATGTTTCACAAAACTCAGAACGAGAGAAACTTTCACAATGACTTGTTGTCATTTGGGTCATTTGTCCTTAAGTTATCCAAAATCATAGGCTATATATAAACACATTATTGACCATATCTTTTCATAGACAGATTCAAAACTCTATAAACAACCTTGAATCGATCTAAAAGTAAGCAGTATTCTCTTTCATAAGGAACTTCATCTTATTCCTTTTAAGTTTTGTTGTGCCATCACACACACAACACCACCTTTTAGGTTTAGTGATAACTTAAGCACAAAAGGATCTATTTAAACTAATAAAAAGATTTGTTTTGCAGGTATTCATTTATCCAAGCCTAGTTTACTACACCTTTCAGCTTATAACAACCTTAGAAAAATCATAATCTTTAAAAGGTTTTTGTGTGTGTGTGTGTGTGGTTGAAACGCTCATTCGAAGAAACAATTAAAGATTGGGACCGATTGTAAAATTACCAAAAGCTCATACACTAGGATGGCTATTATCTCATAAAATAAGGGTTTAATTTCGTAGTTGATTTTTTTATCAAATATATAATTTATTATCCAATGAAAAAGTACCAAGCCTAAGCATTAGCCTATTAAAGACCATGACCGGTTCAGAAAAGGCTCTACCAAGAAACACAAGATTGTCCAATCTAATAGTCAATAAAAGAAAAGAAAAGAAAAGAAAAAAAGAACATCTTCACGGTGCATTTATTTCACGCTTATGTGTTTTGCGTTGGGAGTCTGTCTCTGTACTTGTTTATGGGTTGGACAACGCCGCGGGGAATCTTTTTTAAAAAATATCTTTTTCATTTAAAAATATATAATATTAAAAAATATCTTTTTAAAAAAATATACGATTAAGGGGGATCTTTTTTAAAAAATATCTTTTTTATTTAAAAATATATTAAAAAATTCAAAAAATTCAAAAATATGTTTTTAAACACAAAAATAAATATACTGTTAATAAATTATTAAGGGCACGCAGTCACCTCTCTTCATCCCCCCCGTCTTTCTGGTTCATTTTTCTTCTTCTTTTTTCCCCATCCTTTTGGCGCTGAGGAACAATGAAGAAGAGAGCTAAGCAATGGACAAAGAAAACCAGTAGAGTCTCCTAAGGGAAGGAGACGCAAACCAGGAGAAGGGGCCATCCAAAAAGTACTCAGCTTGCCATGAAATCAGCATACTGATTTTCTTCCCGCAAGACATGATGCGCACTAATCTTTTCGTTTTTTCTTTCAAGAAAACCTCATCATCTTTGCCTCTCCTTCAAGCTCTTTGAATTATCAACTTCATTGAGAGAAAAAAATAAAATTCATCTCATGTATTGTATTAAAGTCTAAATCCGAGGCGCCTCCATCTCTTCCTTGCTATATTTTCTTTTGTCAAGGCTGCGTACTGGCATTGTTTACATACACATAGCAATCATTCTGTAAAACAAGAGTTGTACTCCATATATATAAAGTAATACTCTTACTATCTAATAATTTCTCGTTTACATATGCTCAGATTTTCTAAATATTCATTGTATTTGACCATGATATCATGTATTTTGCCTGTGGTTGAATTGGCGCAAATCCTGACACATGACACCTTGACTACTCTCATTTCCTCTCCTTCTACTTCTCCTCTTTCTTTCACAGACTCGTTTACTTTTCTTTATTTTTTTATTTACTACAAAATCTCTTCAACTTAACTAATCAAAAAGTGCAAAACGGGATTATTTGTTGAAACATGTTTTTGGGATAAAGAACTGTGTAACTGGTTTTGTTTCTACTAAAACCCAAATCATAAATCGTTTTTCTATAGTTTCTTTCTTTTTACTAGGCTCAAGGCTGGCCTAAAAAGCTTGAGATCCATCACAAACCACGCTTAGGCTTGAGATCCAGAACGGTGGATTGGATGGGGTCGAACCCAGGCCTAGAAAACTACATCGAGCCTGACCTCAGCTCGAACCTATCCTAGCCTCGCCTTTGAACAGGCTTAGCTGTCTCGTGCTTGCTTCTAGCGTGAATTAGGTTTCGTGCAGCAACCACGATGCCTCATTGTTTAATTTTTAAAAAAATTAGCAAAATAAATTAAAAATATTATATAATTTTTTAAAAGAAAATAGTGAAATAATATAATTTCTATATGTTATGTTCGGAAAACATGATCTTTATAAATTGTTACTATTCATAATGTTGAGTTCTAAAAATATATATTAAATTGTTAGGAAAAAAAAGAAAATAAATATGAAGAAGATGTTGAAACTTTAATTACAATACCATCAATATTATTAAAAAAATATTATTTAAATGAACTTAATATACCAAAAAAATAATTAATAATAACTCAAGTAAACTATATTTATCAAAAAATATAAATAAAGCATGTATCATACCCACCCTCATTATCGTTATCATTATTCAATTTACAGATTTTAAAGCATAAAAATAAAAATATAATACTATATAAAAAAGTTGGGTGCACATAAACCTCGTGTCTTAAAAAAAATGCAACAAATATTCAATTTTATTAAGATAAGAGGATATTAAAATCTCTAATGCAAGGGATTATATGCAAGGAATCAATTATTATCTTGATTCTTTTTTTTATGACGCTAATTGGAGACTCAAATCTTACAGAGTCAGAGATAGAGTTCTCTGCAAGAGCGCAAATGAAGATTTTACGAAATTCGTTAAGGGTGCGTTTCTTAAAGCGGATTTTGACAAACGACAAGTTTGCTATAGGTGATCTGATGAATACTTAAAAAATGTATTTGATCCATCGTCGTAGCAAACAAATGAGGTATAAGTTTGATAACCGGTATAAAGAAGATTGAATAACATTCAATTTTTAAACCAGTCAAATATTAAAAAAATTATTTAAAATAAATAATAAAAAAATTAAATTAATTGAAGTTAATTTGTTAAACTTACAAATTAGTTATAAGATCATGATAATTATATAAAAAATACAAAAAAAACCATCACAAAGCGCAATTCCCTATAAACATAATACTGAATAATAAAAATAAAAAAATAATTGAAAAATAAAAAAGAATTGAAAAAATAAATCAAAGTCAATTCAAGCTAATTTTTCAAACTCGAAAAAATCATAAAACCAAATTCTCAATCAGTAAAATACTCAGAACTAAAATCGAACAAAAAAATAGTAAAAGTAATCCAAAATAAAATAAATAGTAATCAAATGAATAATGATAAAATTTAATATAATAATTGAAAGGATAAAATTAAAAAAAAAAATCAATTCAAAATAAGATTCAAAACAAAACTAATGAAAATCAAAATATTAAGAATCAAATATGATATAAAAACAATATGACATGACAATATTCAATCTTAAAAGGCCTCACTAAATTCTAAAAAAGAGAAAAGAATAAAAAAAAGAAGAAGAAAAAGAAAGAGTTATTGACGACACGCGTTGACCTAGATGGAAGAGCTCGGCACAAAGCTTTCAACATCACCGCTAAAATCAATGCTTAGCCCTTGAAGATGTAGGGTGAATATCAAAATATTTTAAATGGACTCCTTTTCTAGCTCAAATTTGAACTTAAATTATATGAGAGTTGTTTTGATGTGACTTAGTCAACTTGACTGATCCAAATATCAACTTGATTGACTGGTTAAAAAAGTATGAGGTTGAGATTGAGATTGAGGAAAAATAATGAAATTAATCGGAAAACCTCCAAACCAACTTCTTACCTGAATCAAGTTAAGATTAAACTATATAAGAGTTGTATTAATGTAATCTAATTGACTTAACCGGTCTAAAAACAACTCAATTAACTCGTGAAAAAAGTTTGAGAATAAA